CCCTCGGTCATCTGGCCACTCCCCCCTCCCCTATCCCCCGCTCATCGGTCGATCGGGAGGGGGAAAAAAGAAAGTGGGGCTCCTGGAGAGGAAGGGGAGGGCCACGGGAGTGCGGAAGAGAGTTTTGTTCACTTTTAGCACTGCCACCTGTACTTGTGCCGTTGAGGAAAGACATATCCCCCTCCCCCTTGGATCTACCAGTGGTTATAGATGTGCTCCCGCATACTGGACGTAGCTACACACCAAATTCTTCCATCCATTCTGAGCCACATGTATCTCTTATTATCCACAAAAAGCGATTTCGGATCAAATATTTAAAAATTTGGCCAATTTGTATAAAAATTATTCAAAAAAAATTAAATGCCAATTTTAACATTTGTTAAAAAATGCAGGGTAATTTTTAAAAAAAGTAACCGTAAAATAACTGAATGTGATTGATACTGGGATTACATACAAACGAATACTCAAAAATAATAATAACTGATAAGTATATCACAGCTTTTCAGCAAAATCCTATTATACGTACCAAGAAAAAAGTGAATGCGCAACAAGCATGTCACAGTGATTTTTACGGCTCCCATGATTATACCGCAAAAAAAAATTCGTAAAAATTACTTCTGCCATTGTAGTAAATGCAAATTTTCTGCTTGGCGACCATTCACTGCGTCATAGAATCCCTAAAAAATAAGTTTTTTTTAGAAACGAAAGTTTTTTTTTAAATGTTGGCACAAAGGAAAGAAAAAACAATGTATTTTTTTAGGGAAATATAAAAAAAAATCTTTGCTCAGCGTCTAACGTTAAAATAACCACTACAGACACAAAAATTTAAGTTACCCCCCCCCCTTTTCGCCCGCTTTCCAGTCAATGCACAGAGAATATCCTTGTAAAGTTTCAGCTTTCTATCCGTTCTGGTTCCCGAGATCGCTTTCCCGCCAAAAAAATTCGACTATCACCTTTGTATCAATACTTTCGCTATTTTTAATTGGTACTGGTTTGGGTATTTGAAGAACACATGTCTAGACTTCAATCAAGACACACTGGGCAACAAGAATTACATATCGCGAGCACCACGGGATGCAGGGAGAAGTGGGGAAGCGAGCGAGAGAGAGTTAGGGGACAAGGAGAAGACTAGGAAGTCGAAGGAGATCAGGTTCGGGAACCACAGAAGCTAGGAAGCTGAAATTATATGGATATGTCCCTTGCGCACGTAGGACCGAGAAAATTTAAATTCAAGCTTCCCTTTCCCCGTAAAAATTTTGCCACAAAATTTTAGCTCAAACACCGTCACCGTGGTGTGAGAATGGCAGCTGACTGGGCAGTATCGAGGAACGCCAGAGCGAAGTACTTCCGCATACCTCTTCCCATTGCGCAAAAAGAGGAATTTCGTTTTAACTTTTTTTTTACATAAGCAACCTTCCCACTACCTCAATTTTCCTCATTCTTGCATAATTGAAGGGTTCCCTTTTTACTTCGTCTATAGTATGCGATTTTTTTCGTTCGTACTGTGATACGGCAAAATCGATACGCACAAAACTAGAAGAAGGAAAGGAACTAGCAATTAAAAAAAGAAAAAAATAACCAGTCAGAGATATTTGCCAGGACAATATTGGCAAGTTCACGCATACGTTTTGTCGATCGGCTATCATTAACAACTTGTTCCAGCAACGGTACACCACCTTCATGAACAACATATGGGCAATATTTGGTTTCTGAAATAAAAAAAAAAAAAAAACGATATTCTTAAACAGCGGAAGTAAACTGGCTTTCGAACTGGATATCTGCGCCAGATTATCTTAGTTTTTTATTCAAAGGCGTTAAAACCCAGTTGTCCAATATTAGGGAGAAATTATAACAAAATTACTTCATTCATTCTCTATGAATTACTGAAGGTAGAAATAAGATGAAATAGTAATAGTAATATTAATAATGGTAATAATAACAATTATGACAGTGATAATGATAACAACATTTATGGTGATAATAATGACAATAATAATGCAGTTGCTGAAATTCGGTTCAACGCAGCTGGGCTGAGAACTAAATTAAAGTCAGAATCGGTTATAAGATAGTAAATTGCATCAAAAAGAGGAAATGAGATTTTTTTCGGCTCTGACAAAGGCCATCCGGGATAAAGAGGAAAACATTGTTTGATGCAAATGCAGGAAAACGTGGCGAAAAATTACACAAATTTATATGCAACGAACAAAAACCCTCTTTCAAATTTTCCAAAAAACTCCCTTCTACTTTTGATTCCTTTCCAATTCTCGAAGGGTTATGAATGGAAATTAGAACATACTATCAGTAGTTGTAAGATTAGCAAGTGCCCAAATAGCCCATTGCTGACTGGCCGGAGAATCAACCATCGGAATTAGCCTTAGAATCGGTCTGAATGAACGATAATTGATGAAGCGTCTCGCTTGCAAATCCCAGGAATTCGTAGCCTGAAATAATCAGCACTCCTGAAGAGTGAAAATAGCCAATTTCAAAAAAAAAAAGACTTTTCGAATAACAATAATCAAAACAAAAAAATTTTTTTTTCAACTATATTACATACACACATACATAGACTACATATATAAATGTACACATACACATACATACATACATACAAACATACATAGACACATATATACACACATAAATACGTACACATACATACATACACACATACATACATACATACAAACATACATAGACACATACATATACAAGTACGTACATACATACACATATATACATAACATACACCTACCACATAAATCCAACATACCCATTTTTTCATTACTAGCTGAAAAAAAAAAAACGAGAAAATTCAGAAAGCTTCGCAAAAGGGAAAAAAATACATATATACCTGGATGATTTTTTTCATGACGGCAGCTCGTGATACACTTACTCGTGC